TAAACAGAAAAATGTCATTTTCTCACCTCACTTTGAATTTAACTAGCCAAAAATAAAACCGCCATTTTGTAAGCAGCCAGACAAATGCACGTTCTCCCTCACTATAGGTTACTAACATAAAAAAGCATTTTGTTAAATGCTCTACAGAATTATCTCCCAATTGCATTCAACATTAAGCAAGTAAATGTTTTTATACAATTGTCATATTCCTGCTTTTTAGTAAATGTTTTTATACAATTGTCATATTTCTGCTTTTTGAAAGGCAATCCAGCCTTGACCACACAGCCATGCACTTAGCATACTGCATTTGTTCAGGTGTAAGTTAATAAAAATAAACTTTTTAATACTAGTTACAGCTGTTGTGTTGTCATTATATACTGTACCATGCACAAATGTGTCACTTTTTTGTAAATTACACTTCTGTGATCACCAAGCTAATGTTAACCTTTAATCGGGCATTGTCAAGATATGGTTGCTAATGTTTTCTGTATTGGTTTGAAGAAACTGTAATCTATTCAAGTGGGTTGGAAAATAGTAAGGTTACTTGTTTGATATTAGCTCCACCAATGGGAGTGCAGTCCTGTGCAAAACCAGCACAGGCAAACGTGATGTACACCACATGCGTGGGTTGAACCATCAATCAAGGGCTGTCCATCAACCCAGCTCCATGGCAACAGGCTGACAGTGCCGTCTTGAATTTTATAGAGTGCATTGCTGTGAATCATAAGGGCAATACGCTAGATATTTTTCTTCTTAAAGACCTGCACTGAAGACACTGCTAAATGGAAATTGTTAATTATATAGCATTGTTTCATTTTAAATTAGCTCCTCTACTGTTAAAAAAAAATCAATAGCTGAGCAAATAAAACAGGTGAAGCATAATTTCAATTATTACAAGAACAATGAATTTTCCATCCCAAACAGAAAAACTGTCAGTTCAAAATTGAATTAATGACAAACTGACACTATTAGCTAAAACTAGAGCACCTAATCACATTCTTGTTGTGTACTGTATTGTTTGGTAAAGTGGCTATGCTAAACTAGCTCAGGAGAGCTAAACCTTGCAGTTGAAAACACTCATTTTGAATGTTGTGGCCCACATTCTGTGTGAAATGCCAGGGCTATGCATTTGAACCATGAGAAGCACAACCCAGCTGTGCCATAGCTCAGCCAATGTTGGGTGCTAGCTATGGGCCGTATCCATTTGGTGTGAAGTGTATGCAGCTTACTCTAGTAGCTTGCGCACACTCATGGAAGAGGGTGCAGCTGTGACATGCTCATCCTTTTCACCATGCTCACACTGCCCTCCAGTGTTGATTGGGAGACTACAATCCAGGAAGTGTAACCAAATTCAATGCAGAAACCCCTTAAACAGTCCCTTTTGTGAAGCAAATAGTCAATCTGTACCATTTTTCAGCTTTAACATGTGGTGGTGTTGTGTTAGATAAGTGAATGTAATTAATGTAAACTAGATAAACCACAGCAACATGTTCAAAAAGGGTATCAAGAAGTTCCATTGAAAACTGTTCACAATAAGGTGCACAGATTACCCAGGGCAGTGCATTGTGATGGCATTGTCCAAAAGGCATGGCAAGCATGACTTTTGTTTTTAAGCTTTCTCTACCCATACAGAATATTAGGCTATAGAAAGTGTGTGTTATGGTTGTGTTCCCCTCACCAACCAAAGTGGAAAACCCCGGGGGCAATAAGAAAAAAAAAAAAAAAAAAAAAAAAAAAGGTGGTTTATTGAAAAAAAACCCAACAAGGTAACAGAGTCAATGCATGTGGCATAATCAGGCTGGACAGGGTAGGCTGAGGAGACCAGGACGATCAGGTGAGTGGACAAACTAACGGCAGGAACCATGAGAATAGGAGGATCAGGATGGACAGGTCAGTAGACAGAACAACCAGGAGGATTAGCAAACGCCATCAGGGAAGCAGAGTAGCGAACAAAAAAAGAAAACAGCACAGGAACTGCCAGCGTTGAAATCAACTTACGCATGCCTAAACACATGGAAACAATGTACAAAAGAAAACCACAGCACAGGAACAGTCAGCGTGGAAATCAAGACACCTATAATACAAAAAAAAAACATAACCAAGATACAAAAAGAGATCCACAGCACATGAACTGTCAGAGTGGAAATGAAAAAGCCATCTGATACATACCATGAATACAGGTCTGTCTACAGGTAATATCCCAGCAAAGACAGATTGTCTGCCAGAGGTTTAAATAAAGGAGCAGGTAATCACAAGAATGCACCTCAGCTGTGTGCACCACAAACGAGTCACTCATTACCGAATGCAACACAGCTGAGGTGCCGATCCCGCAGGTCGAGAGAGAGAGAAAGGAGGAAGAGAGGCAGGCCACGCCGAGCTGACCTGACAGTGTGATGTAGATTAAATCTATGGGGGTCATATAAGGAGTCATAATTTCACCACTAAAAGAAGGCAGGTGTGAAATTATATTTAGATATACAGTGTTGAAAAAATAAAGGATTTTTTTATTATGGGATTTTATGAGATATAGGCAGACATGTCAGCTGTATAATACTTTCTCTTGCTCATATTCAGCTAATTTGTATTTGCTAATGAGGTCTATCTGCTCCAAGTGAAAAATACAGTAACCAAAGATAAACAGAGCATCGTAGGATTATTATTATTGTTTACACTGAGCCAAAGTAGAAAGCATATGCTAACATGTCATGTGTGTACAAGAACATCCAAAGGATCATGTGGTGTGGAATAAAAGTGGTGAACAGGCAGTGAAATTCCCCTGTATCTCCCATAAGGCCCTTTTGCTCTTTAGGTTGCTCTCTACTGTGTCCTGTTTGAGAAAGGATCACTACACAGAGCTGCTTACAGCAAAGTCCAAGTACAGTTTTGTTTAAATTTGGATCAAAGACAAAATCTATGTTGGACTGTTAAATGTAGCACAACGTAACAAAGGAAAGCTGGTAAACTTGTTTCAAAAAATAGTTAAGCATGCTTAGAGTTGATGGGCTTGATGTAAATTAAATAGTTGGTACAGTTTTACCAGTATGACAAATTTGAGAGACTTGACTTGAAGCACGACTGCTCGGGTTAAAAAAAAAAAAAAAAAGAACGAAAGAAAGAACCCTGTTTTTTGCTGCCACAGCGTTGTTCAGTCTGATATGAGGAGGAGCTGAGGCTGTTAGAAAACAACTAAGTAAACTAACCGTGAAGCCATGTTTGTTGTTTCCTTCTTGAAGTCCTCTCCCACTTGCTATCAGGGCCACTGCATAAATCTTTTTTTAAAATCCTGACTTTATTCTCAGAATTCCGACTTTAAACTCAGAATTCTGACTTTAATCTCAGAATTCTGACTTTAAAGTCCATGAGTTTAAAGTCAGAATTCTGAGACTAAAGTCAGAATTAAAAAAAAAAAAGTATGCAGTGGCCCTAATACTCTTCCGTACTATCAGTCTGATCACCCCATGACAATGTCTTTAAAGCCACTAACCCAAGAGAATCTTGGGAAGTGAAGAGAGGTTCTGTAATTGTCACCTATGGCCACAGATGTCGCTGTTTAGCACATGTTATAGTGTTTTGCATTACATGGATGCAGTGATAAAAGTCCACATGCATCTCATTCTAACAACAACACACAAAAACACAAAACACAGAGGTCAACAAATTTATCTTTGTGACTACAGACATAATATTCAGTAAATGCAAATGTAATTATACAACTATTTATACTGTAGTCATGCCTGTTACTGTGTTCTATTAGTGTTTCACTGTAACTCTTTTATCAGTGTTTACCTGCTGTCCAAACAACCTGTTACTCTAATAACTTGACTTGAAGGGTTTGACAATAGCCCTTTGTTTTCACCTTAATGTAAACTATGTAAGTTTCATATACAAGGGAAATGATTCTCTCCAGTAATTAAAAACACACTGCATCAAGGTGTTGTCTCAATGTGTGGAACAAGACAACATTACATGTTGCTTTAACTACAAATGCAGCATTTTGTTCTGGTTTTGATAAGGTATTAGTCTTTTCTACAACCTTGTAGTGCAGTTAGACTGTCTGTAGAAACTGTCATAAGTGTTCCAGGAATCTTTTTCCTGAGTCATGAGAAAGTGTTCTCACTACCTCATGAGACGATGTCATTTTGAGAAAGTTCCAAGTTACATTTGTGAGATAATGTAAACATTTTAACATAATCATGATATTAAAAAACTAGAAAATAATAAGTTATTAAAATGTGAATAAAAAGATGATGTATGTGATTGTTTTGCAATTAAGACCTACTTCATCATGTGGCTACACAAATAGCTGGGCTAGCTAAAATAACATATTGATCAACTTTGGATTGCCCCCTGTGTTACTCATATAAGATGTGACCTGTATAACCTACTGAAAAGATGTTTCTTAATACTAATAAAGGTAATACTATGAGTATTCCAATAGTTACAGAACATTTACTGGAAAGGAAAATGCAGTGAACTAACTTCTTAAACGTTTTTGCAGAGCATGAGCAAGTTTGTGCAGAATTACTGGGTGCTGTTACAGTCGCACTCCACTAGATGGCAGCTCTGCATCAGGTTTGGGATAAGGATCCATTCACAAGACCAGACTATTTTCAGACACAAACTGGTTTATTTCAAACACTTACTTCTGAATGATATACATTATTCAACAACTTATTACTTAGACCATTGCCTTTGTTTAGCATCACCTTACTTTACTGTCCATCACAACAGTAGATCCAAAACAACCAAAATCCATACAGAAATTCACTAAAATACAGATGTCAACCAGTGTAATGTCAAAGCCATGTCCATTTTGTCTAAGCCACACTGACTGCTTGGAGACACTTCTCCAGAGTTATCAAAAGCAATTTGTTCCAAGAATATATCAGCATTAGCTTCCATACAAAAATCCCACTGTTTTATCGCAGCACCACACAA